AAAAAAAAAAAAAAAAAAAAAAAAAAAAAAAAACACATCTTAGTAAAACCAATACCTTCTCAGCTTCGCATCGAAGCTAAAAATTAAACTTATTTTAAGTTAATTTTGCTTATTTTGTTGTTGTTCCTTACCTCTACCATGACAAATATGTTAAAAATTATAACTTTACGTTGTTATAATAAATAAATATGATATTAAAATTTTCAACTAATACCTTTATTTTATCTATTTTTTAATTAATTAAATTATTATTTTAAGAGTGCTCTTATTTTTATAAAATTTTTACTATTATTTTAGTCATCCTTAAAACGTTAAGTGTATAATGGTATTTGTTTTACTCAAAACAAAATAACAATATAATTAGAAAAATTAGAAGTAATTAGTCAATGGGGAGCTTGAAGTTGTCACTCTATCTTAAAAATGAAAAATATTTCTACTGCTATCTGCAAATTTGGACAATATTCATGAAAATAGCTTAAATAAATTGTACAAAATCATAATATGTATAAGAGACTAAATTTATATTATACATTTAAGATCTTATGTTACTTTTAATCAAAAGTATTAAGTATAAAATAAAAAATTATTTTATTTGAAAAGCTTGAGGATTTATCCATGTTTGCAGTTGAAGATGGACTCTGCAATGAGTCTGAAACGTCAGCAATCAACTGCAAACATGGATAAATCCTTAAGCTTTTCAAATAATATGACAATCCATGAAAGTTTCAACACATTCATAAAAAATGATTTCCCTGTATATTCTTTTATTCATTATTTATTGATTTTTTAATAAAGATATTACAAATATTTGTTATATTCTATCAGTAAGAATTGTTTAAATTAATATTTGATACAGATAAATAAATTAATAATACCAATTAAACATTTTTTAGGGTTTTAAAGAGTTTTCCAACTCTTTACAAACATTAAAAAATAAAATTGCCCGATATTTTTTAAATAACAGCAACATTATAATTATTAGTTCAAAAGTTTAATGTTTAGAAAATTAATTGTATTAATAAAAAATATTCTCTTTGAAAATATTTATGACATTTTACTAATTAATTTTAAATCATAGTTAAGTGATATTTCAAGTATACCTTTGATTCCATTTGGTGTAAATGACCGTCTTTCAGTTAAAATTGACAAAGTAATAGATGACCTAAATTGTAGCTCTCTAATTATGCCATCTCCACCATAATATTTACCTCGTCCACCAGAGTTTTCACGCAAGGTGAATTTTTTCAATAACACTGGATATCTTCTTTCTAGTATTTCAGGATCTGTTATGCGTGTATTAGTCATGTGAGTATGAACACCACTACGACCTCTCCATGAAGGACCCTGTTTAATTAAAAATATTATATTTGTTAATGTTAATGGTTTTTTTTAGTTTTATTTACAGCTCCAGATCCTCCAGCCACTGTTTCATAATATCCCCAATTATCTTGACCAAATGTTATATTATTCATACAACCCTGACTATCCGCTGCAGCATTAAATGCTTTTAATACCACATCAACAATACGTTGAGAAGTTAGGACATTACCACCAACAACTGCAGCATTTTCAGACGGATCAAGAATAGTACCTGGTGGTATCTTAATTTTGATAGGTTTTAGACAACCCTTGAAATAAATATACAACATTATAAGTTTTAAAACATATTTAAAAAAGTTTCATTTTTAATAAATAAAACTAAGAATTGATTTATATTTATTACTTGATTTAATGGTATATCATAACCAATCATACTTCTTAAACAATAAATTAATGCAGATAATGTAATTGCTTTTGGTGCATTACAATTACCCAATACTTCATAACTTGATCCACTTAAAAATAATAAAATCGATTAAGTAATATACAACTTTTTAACAAATTTTAACTAACCTAAAGTCAAATATAGCTTCACCGTTTTCGACATTAATTTGTACTGAAAGATTTATGGCAGAACCATCATCCATAGAATCTATAGAGTTTAATGTATTTTTTTCATGGGAAAATGTTTGACCAATGTTCTTCAACATATCTTTAACTGCAAGTTCAGCATTATTTTGTATATGAAACATATATGCTTGAACAACATCCAAACCATATGTATCAATAAGTTCTGTTACTAAATAAATGCCCTGAACATATTTAAAGCTAACTTAAGTGCAATACATTTTTTAAAAAGTTAAAGAAAATTGAAAGTTTAAAATCTTAAATCCTAAATTGAGAATTTTTATTACAAAAATTGTATGTTTTTCAATTGCGGTAGCGATTTGTTCATAAAATATAAGGCGTTAGAACAATTTTTTTTTAGCTTCAATGCAAAGCTGAGAAGGTATTGGTTTCACTATGATGTACGTTTTTTTTTATATCTGTAAATGAAAATTCTCAGCTCACACTAGTTAATTTTGTTGATTTAAGTGTCAATAGAATCCAATTTTAATCTAGTTAAGCAAATTGGCACTAAAAATTTAAAAAATATTTTCAAAAATGTTAGTATGTATTTTGTAAAGATTTAATAAAGTACAGGAAGCATTTGAAAAAGACCTGCTACACAGATTAAAAAACTTTTTTCAACTCAATTTCTGAAAATGTTACAATGAAGCATTTTTTTACTAAGCAATTGCAAAATTATAGATATATAAATAATTAGGTTAATTATTATACAGCTTGGCATTAAATATTTTTTTATTATAATGATGTAAATCATTGACAGATATCAACTATACTTGTTCTTAATATAATGTGACCCCAATGTGTAGTGTTTTTAACTTATAATATATAACATAAGCTTTAATTTAATAATTTAAACATACTCCAAGCTTTAAGCTCGGAGTATTTTTGAGACATTTTTAAAGGATAAATTGAAAAGATTATCATTTCATGTAAAAATTACTATTTTAAAAAAAATTATAACAATTATAAGTAAAAAAGTTTAAAAAATTTCAAATATACCAATTTAAGAAATGTAATACTTCTGGAATTTTTTAAAAATTTTTGAGAATAATTTATTTAACTAGACACATTTTTTGATCTTGAAGAATGTAACATTGAAAAATGTGACTACAAACATTCAAAAAAATAAACACATTGTAGAAAAATTAATAACTTCTTAGTTTTGTATCAAAGCTAAAATTAGTAAAATTATACAATTATGGTTAAAAATTCAAAACTTATACTAACAGTTTTTTTAATAACATGAAAATTTCACTTTTTTATTTATTAGCATATATGATAGACAGTTTTTGCACAGGAGGGTTTTTGCGCCAACTAACATTAATAATAATCTATTGTAATAAAATTCTTAATACTAATTAGTATCAAGATTTTTAAATGTAATGCTAGTTTTTTATTTAAAATATTTTAGAACAGTTATTTTCATTCATTTATTTTAAAATTAAGAACTTTTAACTATACTTTTTGATTAGCCGCAATTTGAGCCTTTAAATCTGATAAGTTATCCTTCAAATTTCTAGTACCAGATGAACCAGGTATAGCAGCAGGTGCCATAAGAGCATCAGTAACCTCTTTTTCACAAAAAATACCTTGTCGTACTAAAAAGAAACTTTTGAATTGGGCCCCTTCTTCAGATAATGATTTTGAATGTGGTGGCATAGATCCAGGAGTAATACCTCCAATATCAGCGTGATGTCCACGACTAGCAGCATAAAATACTGGCTTAGACTGTCCTCTAAAATAAAAATTAATATTATAACAGCAGAATTATTTATTAAAAATCAATAATTTATAAATTTAACAGTATTTACAGTTAAATAGTCAATAAATTTATTACTACTCTATAGTGGGACTGGAGGAATAATGATCGCAAGAGAATGATAATTACGGGTAATACTTTACACGGTATTGAAATATTAAATAATAAAATATGTTTAATAAATAAATGAATAGAGTGCTATTAGGGGCCATGTCATACTAGTTATCTGAATTTCTTTAAAACTAAAATACTGAGTAAGACCCATAACATAGATTATATTAGTAGATACTACTTAAAATTTGACACCTAGCCGTAAAGTTATAATTTATTCTTATCAAAAATAGGTTTTCAATTTTTTTAATATTTACTTTAAATTTTTATAATCTTCAATGTATTTTTTAGATAAGATTTTCTATAATATTTTTTTCCTTCGCGAGTTTAATTAGATAAAATGTTTACAAGGAATCAACTATAGTTTTTGAACACCTAGTGTTATTTAAACAATGCTTTAAAAATGGTTAAAACATAATTAAAAACAAAAAAAAAAAAAAAAAAAAATCATGTATTTTTTTAAATACATAACAATTTTTAACTCTGATTAACAATTAATAATAGAAAATAATCAAAACTAGAAAGTAAGTGGGATTAAATATGTGTAAATATAAAATCATTTTAGTCATTGAAATGAGCCAAGTATAACCTGAACAATATTTTTTATTTACAAAACATTAAAAAAATTTTAATTTTCTTATAAAGAAATATTATACAATTAAGTAATAAAATAATAAAAATAGAAAATAAGTTTTCTCCTAGAGAAAGACATAAAAATTAAACATTTATTTTGAAAATGTACATTTGAAATTAAATATATAATAATAATATTTTTAATATAATTTTAATTTTAAATAATATTAGCCATAAGTGATCAATTTATATTTTATAATATATTTTTTATATAATCGCCTTCAATCATCTCTTAATTGTGCATAGGCACAAAGAATTATAGTGATTATACACTGTATAATAACAGTATTATACAATAATTTATTGTAAAATATATAGTTACTTACGGATAATACACAGGAGTAATAACCGTTAAATCAGGGAGATGAGAACCGCCAGCTTTTGGATGATTACTCAGAATTACATCACCCTCTTGAATTTCATGACCGATAGTTTTAATCTTTAAAAAAATTTTAAAACAAACATTTTCAAGAATTGAATATATTTAAAAACCAATGAACTAAAAATGAAGTTTTTACTTGATATTGAACAGCCTCTTGCATAGCACCTAAATGAACAGGAATGTGAGGTGCATTAGATACTAAACCTCCATCTGGACCAAATAATGCACATGAAAAATCTAAACGTTCTTTTATATTTGTTGATATAGATGTTCTTTGAAGGATTCTTAAATATAATATCTTTTTAAAATTAAATTGTCAACATTTGTTAAATTACTAACCTGCCCATTTGTTCAGCAATACTCATAAATCTATGAGAAAATATACTTAATTGAATTGGTTCAAGCTCAGTACCAATTTTTATAAAATTTTTACAGTCAATATCAATTTCTATAAAAAAATAACAAAATAATATTAAATGCAATTCAATAGATTTTCTTGAGTATATATTAGACATTTATAACTTACCAATATCTCCAGAATTACTAATTAGAGCTTTACACGAAGGTTCAATTAAAATTGTACTCAATTTATCCATTATAATAGCTGGTCCAAAGATTGTATTACCCCTAGATAGTTTATTAAATAAATATACAGGGCACATTTTATATCCCAATTCTTCAAAATAAATCATTTTAGTCTAAAAAGTTATGAAGTATATTAAAATTTCTCCTGATAATAAAAAAAAAAAATAATTTAATATAATAGATTAATACCGATTCAACATTAGGAAGTTCATTAAAATCTTCATGTTCTTGAATTGAATCATTAATGAGTGTTTTTCCCACTCCTCTGATACGTATATCATCAACAAAAACTGTACGTCCAGAAAGTGTAAATCCAAATTCATTATGGTACCTAGTGTCATCAAAACACTAAATTTAGTATTTTTGCTGTCTTACATAAAAATATTTCATTTAATTCATAAAAAAAAATAATAATTTTGTCAGAATAAGTTAGCATCAAGTTAAACATTAACATGAAGGAAAAATTTAGAATCCAAATTGTTAAGAAAAGAAAATATATTATTAGCTATTTTACATTTAAAATTTAATAATTAATAATTTTAATTTTAATTATTAACATACATTACCTCATTTGAAAACTGCTTAAAAAATCACCATCAATAGTTTTTAAAACATTGTTATTGTTTGGTGTTACTGAGCACATAAGTGCAGTATCAGTGCCATCATAACGTAGATGTAAAAAAGATTCAACCTGTATCTGATTATCCGAAAAGCCTTGCTTTTTAAGTTCTTCTTTACACTTTTTTTTTAAAGCAGAAATATGCTTATTTATATATTCAAAGTTTTCTGTAGTGAAAATATATGTATCAAATTCTGGTATAGGTTTATGAGTTTGTTTTTTTATTATTTAACCCTTTCAAATCAGTTATATTATTGTGTACTCGTCATTTATTTTTATAGTACACAACTGTAATTCTGAAGTTAAAGCAGTGCATCCACATCAAAATTATTGATGTAAGCAACAAATAAAGTTAAGTATAAAATGTTTTCAAACTAAAAAATAATTTTTAGCCTATCCTAGGTTGTTCATTAATAAAAAAAAATAATTTTAAGCTAATTAAACATAAAATAAAGTTTTAAACTGTAAACCCTATAAAAAAAACTTAAATAAAATGAATAATTTTTTTATGATGATTTGTACTTATAAATAAGAATGCTACTATAACTTTGCTTTATAATTTAACTTAAAGATCTTTAAATAAATAATCTCATTTAAATATGAGATTAGAGTAATAATTCATAGGATTATTACTATATTAGTACGTCATACAAACCATAATCATATGTCACAGAACAAGGTTCTTGAATTTCATGAACAACATCTGCACATGCCATTCCATAAGCAGATAGTATTCCAGCATATTTATGTATGACTACTTTATTGATTCCTAAAGAACGAGCAATTGCACAAGCATGTTGCCCTCCTGCTCCACCAAAGCATGATAGTGTATGTTGTCGTGTATCATATCCTCTAGCCTTGAAAAATTATAATATACTTAATTTACAAAGTATTATAATGATAAAAACATGTTTTAATTGTGACAAATAATATACTTGAGTCAATGCTCTAATTGGGCGACACATAGCTTCATTTGCAACTCTAATAAATCCCATTGCAACATCTTCAATAGTGATTAATTTAACATCACCTGATTGTTTTTTTAGAAATTCATTTACCTAATAACAAATTTACTTATTAAACTTTACTTATAACAAGCATGTGTTAATTTAAAATAAATTACTTCAATTGTAAGATTCTCAAATTCTTTTTTGGTAGCTTCAATATCTAGAGGCTCATTTTCAGTTGGGCCAAATATTGATGGAAAAAAGTCTGGTAATAACCTACCAAGCATTAAATTTGCATCAGTGACTGTTAATGGACCTCCTTTTCGATAACAAGTTGGTCCTGGATGAGCTCCTGCACTTTCAGGACCTACAACGAATAATCCAGATCTAAAAAATAATCTGCTACCACCACCAGCTGCTACAGTATTTATATCTAACTAGTGAAAATCATATTTTTATTAAAAAAATTAGACAAAAAAAAAAATTAAATAATTACTTGAGGTGCTTGAATAGTAATTCCAGCAGTAATAGATTCAAAAATATGTTCAAAATTTCCATCAAAACGACTAACATCTGTTGATGTTCCACCCATATCAAAACCTATAACAGGTTTATAGGGAGTAGTAGCTGTATACCCAATTACACCGCCAGCAGGACCAGATAAAACTGCTCTTGATCCATTAAAACTAATAAAAAAATGAATAATAATAATAAAATATTTTTAGATTACATATAGAGTATTAGATTATTAAGAAATGTTATGTACTACAAATAAGTTATATTTAAATTTTTATTTATATATATTATAACCTTATTTCATAAAAAGCTACAAGTGGTAGAAAGAAACGAAGTACTTTATATAACAGTTCAATAAAATCAAACTTTAGTGTTTATATAGTGAGTTTTTGACCAAGTAATATAAGCCTAAATTAATGAGAATAAAACACAGGGCTTATTTTTGTGTTTTATGAAACACTATGTATAATATGAAATCAAAAGTGTGTAGAATGAAATTTTACTCATTAATTTTTAAAGTAACTAATCTATTATAGTTTAAAATTGTTAATTTTCAACAATTGATGATACATGCATATGTTTCATATTACCTGTTCATAGGTGTAAGTCCACCATCACTTTGCATAAAAAGTATGTTAACATCCTTCAAATGATTTTTAAATCCGGAAGCAAAACCCTTTAAAAAAATTCAGTTAAAAAAAAAATTTATAGAAAAAAATGTACAAACCTACTTCAACATATTTTTTTATATGAGGTGTCAAATAAGCATCAGCACAAGCTGTAAAACCTCTTGGTACAATTTTTACCATAGGCATTATTTTATGTGATAAAGAGACATGTTTAAAGCCAACTTCCTTTGCTATTTTACCAACAGTTAACTCATGATCAACAAAACTGAAACCCATATTTATTTATAGTATTTAATATCAGTTTGATTTTACTAAGCAAAAAGTTTATTATAAATACAAATAAAATATTCATCTTTGTAAGAGTAAAAAAAAAAAAGAAAAGAAATACTAGTAAATTGAATTTTTAAGATCTAGATTAATTTATTATTTATTTTTATATCTACATTTTATTAATTTTTTTAATGATCTCATTAAAAAAATTATTATGTAAATAATTTGCATTTATATGTAAAATATAAGCAATTTTAAAAGAAACAAAAACATTATGAGTGAACCATAATTAAAGATTTATTAGAGTTTAGATTAAATCTAGGAAAAATATTTTTTTACTCCATGATTTCCTATTAATTTCGAATCCTAGAGTAATAACTTATATTTAAAGCAGTTAAAAAATTACGTATAAGAATGCATAAATGCTACAGCTATGCTATGGATTCCTTTGGCTTTTAGTGAAATTAAATCATTTTTTACTGCATTTTCATTGACAGGTTTTAATATTATAAGTTCTTCACCAGTCAGTCCATGAACAATCGGTAAATCACCCCAAATAGGTTCCAAATTATCATTTCTTTCACAGTTTAAATTAACTACTCTACAATCTACCTCAACAACTTCATCGTAAAGAACATCTGGAGTTGTGATTTCCTATAAATCATTTTCATGATTACAAAAGATATTAAATATATAAGATTTTTATGTTAGTAAAAATATATTTACTAACTAGGTCAAATATTTTTGGTCTGGCTTGATTTCCTATATGTAGTAAATCTTTGAAACCTTTTGTAATTAGTAGAGCCATACGCTCTCCTTTACGTTCTAAAAGAGCATTTGTAGCAACTGTTGTACCCATTCTAATCCATTCAATATAAGAACTATCAATAGGTTCATTTGGAGGAAAAGGAATTCCAGTTTCCTAAAGAAATAATGGTTCAAAATTTTATTATTTTTCATTAAAATTCAATAAAATTCAAACATTTACCAACTGCAATATTCGTCTAATTCCTTCACGAGGCGCATCTTCATAATTTAATGGATCCACTGATAAAAGTTTCATTACATGTACTTTTCCATTAGGACACTTAGCATAAATATCTGTAAATGTGCCTCCACGATCAATAGCAAATCTAAACTTACCATCCATAGTTAAAAGATAAACTATAAAAACAAAACAGAATATTAATTAAAATTAAATTTATAGAACAATTTTTTTTAGGAACTATAATAAAACAACTTTAAAATTGATTTTTAATAATTTAACATAAGTTTGACCTTAAATAATACTGGTATGAAGTAAAATATAATCATATGAAAGTGATTTAGTCTTTCTTATAATTAACACAAAGTTTCTTTTATTTTATATAGCACAATAGCATTTTTTAATCTTCATTTAAACTATAACTGAATATCAACTCACCGTTAAATGTATAAAACAATATACTAAAACTAAAAGAATAACATTAAATTTTAAAATCTATCTTTAAAAAAAAGAAAAAAATTATGTTTGATATTATAAAATTAATTTAACCTTTTAATACATATTTATAGTTCAAAAAGAATGTTACAAAAATTGATTCAATATATAGAAAAGAAATCACATTAATTTTTCAGAAAATTATCTGAAGTTGGTACAATACATTTCAACATTAAAACTTAAATTATAAAAACAGTCAATCTATCTTAGTTGCTACCAGCAACTTTTTTAAAATACTAGAACGGTAAAAATACTTCAATAAACACTGATCATTTAGCAAATAAAAAGCATGTACTTACTACAATATTTTTTTTAATGAAGAATTTAATCGATATTGTTGGACCAAACCGTTTAAAAACTGAAAAAGTCTTGCAATGTTTAAAACTTTGAAATTCAGAGCAGTATGTAACACAGAAATTTCTGTTCTTAATAATACTTCTTGAATGCAATTCAATAATACAGTAATTATGTTAAAGATTACATTTGTTAGACATTGGTCTTGATAAGACATTGCCATGTATCAGCTGATGCTTGACAGTGAATTTCAAATTAACGTTCATTTTGACAGGTTTCAAAATAGTGATGGTAAATTTAGTTAATTCGATTGAAAAGTTCATTATTTCACAGATCAATTTAGTCCCTGTTTGCACCACTGAAAAATAATCTTTTTCAGTAGTATTTAGTTATTGAACAATCGATATCTAACTACCGACAGTCGAACTGTTGCCATAAATATGATTACTAACCATTTAGCATAATTATGCGGGTGAATATGACTAAATGATACAATAAATATCTTCTTTGAACGAAAATTTGCATAACTGAATTCTTTGACTATCAAACTATCAAAAAAGTGTACGGTAGTTTTTATTCGAATGAAAACCATCGAATAATTCATCTGGTAGTTCGATAGTCTAAAACTAGTCAGTCATGGATAATAATTATCGAATAATAATTTGATAGCTTTTTATAAATTATCGGATATACCCGGTAGTCAAAACTTGTCGATTGTGCCCATCACTATAGTGAGACTAGGAAATCTAAACAATATATTGTTTAGATATCCTAGTCTCAGGCAGCTTAGATTCGCATGAACGAATCGTTCGTTTTCTATACATAAATCAGTAAAAAAAGTACCTAGAAATACCAGACTTTTTTGATAATAATATATATTTGCTCTAAAGAGTGGTCCAATGGCCTCCATGAGACCATCACACAAGAAAAAGCGATAATAGTCCATTTTTTCGATTTTGTGATTTTATTTAATAGTATCAAGTAATGAAATTGAATTCTCAAGTAATTAAAACACCCAATAGTAACAGTTATTTAAATATTACTTGTTTCTGTGAAATTAATAAAAGCTTATAATCAGTGAACCAAAAATATTTCTCATAATAAAAGAATTTATTTGGCTACATTTTTAAATATTTCTTATCATTTAAAAATTTCACATAGAAAACAAAAATTATACTTAACTATAATTGATACTTGTTATATGTGATAATGACCCCTCTCTCAGACTTAAATTGGTGTTTTATTCACTTTATTAATATTATTTACTTATAATTAAAATAAATATAATTAAGTTAAAATATTTGTGAAATTTCATTATTTTCAAGATTTTAGTTCGTTAGAATGTTGATGATTGGAATTTTTTACTAAAATATATTTTCAAGGTTAGGTACCCTTGACTACTGACCACCTACAATATTTAGAGGTATTCCTTTATCTAATAATAAAATATATTCAGTTATACTACAGACAGTAAGGAATCTGCCTAACTATAATGTTTTGGCTATCGTGTCCCTTCCACCAATTGTTTAATGTAAACACACGTTTACTTTAAAATTATCAAAAAACCGACTCATAAAAATACGATATGTTTTTAATTGTGTTTCATGTGCGAAGGTAACGTTTGTTCTGACTAAATAATTTATATCACTTTTTCTTATATTTTAGTGTTATTCGATTATTATTAAGATCAAATAAGTAGCCATGGAGGATCATCAATTTAAAATTTCCTCTGGTTTTCCGTGGATTAAAACCGACCGATTTACTCCTAGTCTTCAACAACAATGTAATAATGAACAATTAAATCAAAAATCACTTGCTGGCTTTTATCAGGTATTTAATCATATATGAGTTAATAAATACTTAATTATTTTTAACGATGGATGTTTTTTTCAATAATAATTAAATTTTAATTGCGTGTTGAAAAATTAATTTATACATATTATTATATTTTAGAAAAATAACAGATAAGGCTATTTAAAATCTTAGGCTACATTAACTTGAAACTGAATTTAACGTACCTAATGTTAAGTGATTTTTTTGCACGTTATATTTAGTACATTCAACCCTTTTTAAATCCTACTCTATGATTTGAAAATAGTACACTAAAATATAATCAGCAATGGTAATTTATTTATTCGGCGACGGACAAAACACGCATTCCAGAGTATAATTGGTTAAGAAACCTCCTTCTTTGGGGAAGGCCGCTATGGCCCTTAATGGGCTGATAAAAAAGGATTAAAAAAAATCAATTGTGTTCTAGACAGGCAAAAAATCATTCTAATGTACTATAGACAAATACAAATTAAATTTAACAAACGCTTACCTAGTTTTAGTTATTATCGAGGTGGACATAATGCCCATGCACTCAGACCCGTTGGTCTATTATGCGCAAACGCTTACCTAAATTTGATTATTTTTTAATTTAAAAAAATAAAAATAATAATTTGTCAACAATTTTAATACATACGAATTAATTAAATTTTTTGTATGTCCTTAAAAAATCTGTTAATATACTTGTACAATTATTGTTAGTTTTGTATCATATTATAAGAAATTAGTTGAAAAGCGTGATGTATCAGGTTAAAATATAGTAACATATTACAATATTGTTTTAAATACGACAATTATAGTATTTACGCTAAAAGGTTAAATCTTTTATTCTTGAGTTTGTTATAAGTCAATAATTTCAGTAAAAAACGAGTTACTCTAAACGTTTTAATAATTAATTGTTTTTTTTTCGTATTTTTAACTCTATAGGAAATTATTAAAATTACTGATTTGCAAAGANTTATTCTTGAGTTTGTTATAAGTCAATAATTTCAGTAAAAAACGAGTTACTCTAAACGTTTTAATAATTAATTGTTTTTTTTTTCGTATTTTTAACTCTATAGGAAATTATTAAAATTACTGATTTGCAAAGAAAATGGTTTTTCGATGTTAACTGATACTCTTCGTGGCATAATTTTCTAATTTTTCGCAAATGGATAGAAAAACAGTTTTTGATTAATAACTAAAATTGAGCAACTTAAATTTCGGTGTCAATTTACGGTACATTTTATTCATAAGTTGTAATTTTTTATAGGGACTCCATGAACTATGTCCATTTGAAGGATCACTTTATACCTAATAGCTCTAAGACGAGTTTGTATTTTCATTTATTATTCTTTCGACTATTGGGGTTTTAGTTGTTACATCGAATGTCCTTATAATTTCTTTAAGCCAACAAAAATGTATTAGGAGAAATGGTTAAAGGGAAAAGGTTAAATGATAGATGAGTAAATGGTAATTAATCTTGCTGTAATGTAATTGTTGTGTTAAAACGGCGTATTACTTCAATATTTACAATTTTTATTTAAGCGGTCGAAACAAAGTTTGTTTAAATGTAACGTTAAAATCTGTTGTCACAGATGGAACGTATTAACGAATTCGATCATACTTGCATCAAATGGAATATATCATTAGTTGATGACCAAGACCAAATTAGTGAATGTTTTTTAAAAATAAACGAACGACTACCATTAACGGAAAAATTTGGTCCTGCCGTTCTGACCGTACCGGAAAACATTAGAAAACAAGCGGATGAATTATTTAAACCTTCAGATATAAACGCCAATGACGTATTTAATTTGGCTGATGCCAAAGTCTCTTGGGTCATTCAAAACGGCTATCGTCAATACCTCGAGTCCATCCCTGAAAATGTGAGTTCCTTAGGTTATCGTTTTAATACAAATAAAACAATACTCGAATCGATTCCAATAGCGTATTTATAAAACTGATTGCTTAGAGTGTCCCATCGAATTTTCAGTAGCATAAAAAATATATGACATTTTTCAGTTACAACTAACGTTTATCGCTGTACCAATAGAAATAATAACAGTCTTGAGAATTATTAAACATTCATTGGGTTGATAATATTTATAAATATGATTTAAAAGCCACGGAGATATTCATAAAATAATTCCCGTAATCGTTGTACTCAAAGGGCCGTATGTAAGGGTGTTTTTAGGGGTTTATCCCCCACGGAAATTTTCAAGTAGGTGTATGTATACAATATAACAAATATTACCAACTTGCCTCGGAATCTGAATACGAGTCTATATGTACCTGCTATTTTTGCTCACTTTTGAATGTCCGTGTTACTTTTCTTATCTAATAATACCCAATTTATCTTTTTACGACGGTTTATGCAATAAAAATATTTTAGAAATTTATACATGACGCAGTTATCGATATATTTTTCATCTTTCTTTTTTTTATATAAGTAAATCGTTGATAAGTAAATAGTAGTAGTAATAAACCAAACGGGAGATAACTAAAAACAAAATAAATCTAAAAATACTTTTCAATTTTGACCTATTGAGAGTTTTAATTTCGTCAATGTATCGTAGTAATTAGATAAAAATAAACAAATTGTTGTAGACTCTAAACAGTTGCAATGTGTGCGTTTTTAACATATTCGTTTATTTTTGTTCCACTCAAATACGCACATTTAATAATTTATAATATTTTAAGTCTTGTGCACATAGTCATAGTCGTGTACATTTTGATGTTTTGTTTAGGAATCGATAAAAGGAGAACGCCATGTTTTGTATCCTTGGACGCAATGGGAAACGTCAACGGGGACGCACCACCGACCATCGCCATCAGTTGGTTCGTCACCTTCGGGCACGGCCATTGATCAACAACAATTTATGATGCACTCGACTCCGCAAAATCAGTTCTCTCGACTTCATAGCCGACACGGTTCTCCTCCGGGACTACACTATTCGACGTACAACGACTGTGTTGTCGGACAAGCTGTAGTTCACCCCAAAGACTGTTCGACCGTAATGTCGTCTAGTGAATCGGCTTCTTCCAATCCCAGCGGTGATAACTTATTGGCGCATTCGTCTTCTTTGTGTTCATCACTACTGTCGTATCAGAACAGCAGTGACCAGAGTGGCGGCAATCTATCGTATTCGGGCGATAACTTCTTGTTTGACACGTCGGTGCCGCCGCCCAACTTGGACTCGTCTACAAACACGACGTCATCACCGCATTTCTTCTCCCAGACTGTTACGTCGTCCAGGTCGGCTGATTACTCACCATCGCCGTCCAATTCGCCTCGCTGGTCGTCCCGTCTATATTACAGGGTCAACAGCGACAGCATGGTCCATAAGCTGATCGAGCACTACTGTACGTTCTGCTACAAGAACCACGAGCCTCCCGAAGTGTATGGTACGCATTTGGTCCGGGACGCTATACGCATCACGTGTCCTAAGCTACGAGCGCTTCGGTGCAAACACTGCAATGGCACCGGTGACAACGCGCACACTATCAAGTATTGCCCTTTTCTCTACTCAAACTACAAATAAACACAAAAGTGTTTGACCGTTTGTTGATTTATTCATTTTTTATTATTTCGTTTTACTAGTGTACGGATTTTCGATATTATTACACGCACATTACTTGCATGCGTTTTGTGTAATTTATCTTTTAAACAACTCATTTTAAGCGCATTTTTATCTAGTCTTATTTGTTTCTGTAAAAAATGTTCGATTTCAAAAAAAAAAAATAAAAAACCGAACAATTATTTCATGTATGAAAATTACATTTAAGTAAATGTCTAAAAATAAACTTTCATTGTTTGCTGCATGTTACACGCTATGGTTGATAATTACTTGTTGTTATTTTAGAAGAAGACTTTTCAATCCGTGTTAACTAATTAACAATTAAGTCCGTATTAAGACCAATAGCGTATAAAATAGGACGGGCGTTTTTCTCACTACGCGGTCGTTTTGGATTGTAATGAACTAGTGAACGTACTCTCAACTGTGTTTGATCATTTTGTCATTCATCGTGACATCTTTCGGAGAAATTTACTTGTAATGCGTTCAATAGCTAATTAATTTCAAGTCAAACAAAGGGAATTTAAATGTGAAACACGATGTCTTATTTATTCTGTTTCGTGTAGATTTTTTTACTAGAGAAATAGATATTGTTTCATTACTAAACTATACCGACCAACCCATTAAATAATGTAATAAACATTCAATCAATCTTATAAACACCATTCTAGGAGGCTGGGACGATAAACTATTTTTTTTTTGTTTACATTTCATATATTTGATCAGGTCTTCCAAAATCCAAGTTTCGGCGATGGGAATTTTAGGGGTCGCATTCCCTCATTTTTTAAAAATCTATAGATAGTCGACAATTATCCAAAATTAGAGAGTTTTTTTTTTTTTCGTAAAAATATTTACATTTTCTTACTTAATTAAAACAAAAAAATATACTCCACTCCTCCAGAAATAACTCCTATAGATCAATTTTTAATATTAACTATTATAAGCCACCTGATGTATATAACATTCGACCTGCACATTTTCGGTGTTATAGTTGAAAATCGAAAAATAGTAATGCCAATTTGACTTTGATAAGTCATACGCCTATGAACTAGTTGTACGGGTCTATAAATTAAGCCATACACCTCATACAAATTTCATAAACAAAAAACACTCTTGAAATACAAACCAATCGACATAAATTCTCATAGTATTTTATATCATACGTGAGACAAGATCTCAGAGAATTTTCTTTTAAGAATAAAATATAAGGAGTGGCTTACTTTTTATTTTTCATAAGAATATTTATAAAAAATACGAGGGCGTGATTTATTATGTTTATGAGAAACACAACTTGAAAACCTCTAATTTTAAGTGAAAAAATTATTCAAAAAAAATCCTTTAGTCACGTCATCAAATAGTAGTTTCCAAAATTTACGGAGCTGATGGTTATGTGTCTTTTTGTTTTAGTTAACATTATTACTCAGGAATATTTAATTAAAAAAAAAAAATGATCAAAATAGCAAATACACCATAGAAAAACAATGATGTATCCCTTTCTAAAAAGAATTTTAAATAGGCCTCGGGTTAAAATAATTATTTTTATCGGTTTTCCATATTGATTTCCTTTCCCCGTGTAGAACTTTTTAGCGGCTAATTGCACAAGTGATGTTCTGCCGTTTTCGAGTGGGTTTGAGTGTTTAATATAATTGACGTTTCGCCGTCGATAACATAACCAAACAACAATTTATCTTTGCACACATTAATACTTGGCCAATAATAGTTTATTTAAAATACAATTTATACTTCATTGTAGACGTGTGTGCACATGCGGATCATCGCGTTTTATCTTTTCATAAGACACACGAGCGTAGTTTTACCAGGTGCTCGTGACAGGTTAAATTAATTCAGGCACCGCTTGCGAGTGTAACGAACAATTCACTCGTTAGCCACATAGGCTACACGCATTCGCATCACCGACAGTGTAATAGTCTACACAATGCAGGCACATACACGACATCTACAGGTATCAATGCCTATCAGCTAGACTAATAATAGTAGAGGTTACGTTTTTGCAACAGTATTCACGAGCGGCCTACCGACATCCAGTTAGTTCTTAGGAACGGCCGGAGTGATCGAGTTCAGTTTTTTCTTCGCTCTTCAAATGCTTCTCGTGTCCGCTGTCGTCCTGACAACGGTCGCCCTCCAGGCGGCCGCCGGACCAGTCGAAATTAGAGCGGCCGTAATTTTGCCGAGCGACTACAGGTTTAGTACTTCGTTGCCTAAGGTTATGTCCGCGGTGGACATTGCCGTACAACACGTTTACCGTGCCGGTATCCTCCGTCAGCGGGACGTCGTGTTCAAGTTCGTGCAGAACGACGACAAGTGCGAAGATATCGAAGCGTTACGGATTAGCTTCCAAATGATGTTCCATAACGGGGGCGTGGACCTGTTTCTCGGGCCCACTTGCGATTACGGTGTTGGTAAGCGTGTACTTCTCAGTAGTGTAATTCATCGGTATAGGATCAGAGAGACAACATCAGAGAACTTTAACGGTACTTTAATTAAAGTCGTAAATTCTAACTCTAAAAGTTCTATTGTTGTAACAATCAATTCTACGAAAAAATAACTCGGTTAAAAAAAATAAATAAACAATTTGTTAATGCGTCCTCTAATCCTACACCGACGTATTGTGATCCTTATAAAGTGACACTTATAGATATGTCCAAGTACTATTCATAGTAAACACAACGGTTCAATCATTACTTACATTACTTTTAGATTTTTATCACGGCTTCATTAGCAATGACAAGTTTATTGGTTAGATATAGTGAAATATTCATGAATTAAAAAAATATTCAATTATATGCGTGGTTGATTACCAGTCTGTTCATCATATTTTTATGTCTGTGAAACTACTTCATCACATAACATAGCTACCAGTCCTTTTTCTTATTTACCTCAATTAAGTTTTACTTAAGAGTGAAGTTAACTTTAAATTAAATAATAAATCAATTATTCATAAATAACATTGAATTGTTTTCATTTTTCTGAGCATTAAAATTCAAGGAATTAAAATGTTAAAAAACGTTTTATTTTAATATTCAATGATTTTGTTTACAATTAGTTTTATATTATAAAACTAATTGTAAAACAGTACATTAAATAATTATAAAGAACATAAAATGTAATTGATTTTACAAAATATATTTGATGAAAAGTGACATCACCAAAAATGACTAGAAAACTTAAAATATAAAATTAAGTTAACTAATAAACTCTCGATTCGGTAAAATAATTTACTAACGTTGATTGCTGTCAAGGGTTTTAACTTTAAACTTTCAGTAATTTACATTAGCCCTAAAAAAGATTTTATTAAGTAAATTTTAATATAATAAGAAATAATTATACTGAGCTGCCATTGTAAATTGCATTATTCATTCATTAGTCGTTGAATTTATTAAATATTATAATTTCATTTTTTAATCAAAAAATATTATTTGTACGAAATGTTGTATTAATCTTAGCTCAATACGTTTTTCATCATTAAAATTTATTTGCGATTGATATTACATGGTTTATTGTAGTTCGTACATCTTATTTATAAAACATTTATTTTTTTTACATTTAATTTGTTTGAAATCTTTAAAATCATTTGGTTATTAGCATAATAAATGTTTTGAAAATAAAATATTTTTGGATATTTGGTTTAATTTAAACTCAAATTAAATAAGCTAAAAAGGTTGGTAATATGTTAACGATAACTGATAACGATTGTAATATGATAATTTTATTTTACCAGGTAAGTGTAATGACCATGTTACTTAAATCTACTTAATTTGGTTAAACAATACAAATCGAAAATGATATTCTAGATTAATTTTACTCTTATATGCGTCTAACTGAATTTTAATTTTGTACAAGCCTAATTCAATATTTTTCGCAATTTAAAAATTAAAACTACTTCGAAAAAACATCGCATTTTATGATTTGTTCGCAAATTTGCAAAGAGTTTTTATTGTTTCTTTATCTTACTTATGTGATTTTTACTTGATATATTTTTATTAACGCTGAACGCATCTTGCCATCAACTATTTCTTGTCTATTGACAGATCAAGATTTTAATTTTGATTTTACAAGTAATGTTTAAAATTTTTGAAATTTATATATGCTATTATAATAATTTAATATTTATACTCGCTTACGTTATTTTTAACAATAATTTAGAATAAAATCCTTATTTAAGTTGAAAATCGATTACCATAAAAATTAATTAATCAATCAATTAATTATATTAATATTTACTGAACGTAGGTACAACAAATTTTACTTGAATCAATACAGGGTGATTTCTTAACTACTTACAAAATATTTGAAAATATAGAAGCTAATTATTATTATTTTTAAATAATAGTGATTCTATTTAAAATTAAACATTTATTTAAAATATTAATTTAAAACTACAAAATATAAATCAACACTAAACACGTAGTATTTGTTAAGGGTAGATAATGGAAACATTATTTCCGAAATACCTATCCTCGGTTTTTTTAGTAATTTTTAAGTTTCAAATTAATGTTTAAAATTAATTTTTAATTTTAATTATTATTAGCCACAAGTAATTAATTCTTATTAATGATTAATGAACTAACTTATGAAAAAATTAATTTTCTACTATTCTCTATTATGCTTTTAACTATTATAAACATTTATTTTTACATATGATAATCCTATTATTTTTTACCTTCAAGTTTGATTGTATAAAAACGTTTATGTAGGAAAACTTATTTTATTCGATCTCTGACGAGTTACTAGTCTTTTAAGCTTAAGGGAGATGAAAAACAAACATTTATTTACATAAAGAGCGAACTCTATAATTCGACAAGTGCTACTTATTTTTAGTAATGTAATAAACAAATGTAAAAGAATAGGTAATATAACGTATCTATGCTTACGTAGTAAGTTACTATATATTATATGGTAACTCACTGGAATTGAATAAAATAAAAAGTTTTACCATTTTACCTTTATTATTAAACCATATTTTATTCAATCAGACCTTATGATAAAAAAAATAATAGGGATACCATTTGAAAAACAAAAATTTATGATAGTTTATAACATAAGAGATGATAGTAAAATTTTAATTGTTCTCATAGAGTAGCTCAATAAAATATAAGCTCAATTAAGAATCATTACATAAAAAATTTTAACAGATCTTATATTTTCAAAAATATTTTGTATGGCGTAGTTAAAGAATCACTCTGTATATTACAGTTATAGAATATGTTGATTATTTTTTATACATTATATGCACTTGAATATGAAATATTATTTTTAATGTGAGCAACGGAAAAAATATTACGGAAAATATCGAATAGTAATTATCGAACTATTCGAATAGTTTTTAAAATTATTTCATAGTTTTTTAAGTATTTGATAGTTTATGCTAAAAATAAACTATTCGGTTGTATGAAAAAAAATCGATAGTTTTTTTAAAACTATCGAATACTGTTTGCTGGTTTAAAATTTTATACTAATATAATAATAATACACTAATTATAATATTTCGTTTTTGTGGCAGTTAAATAATCGGAATCTTAGATTCTAGAGTAGGCAACCGCCATACGTCGAGAAGATTCTGTATGGAGCGCCATCTATGTTGCGTTGTTGAATCTTCTCAAAGCCCTCGAACCTTCTAGACACGGTGAACACGTTTTATATACCTTTGCTCTGTAAGCAAAGATATATAAACTGAGAACGGTTCGGTCTCTGACAAACAGTTCATCATTTGACTTGGATTAACTAAATCAATTTCGCTTTGGATCGTTTTTAATTTCTATATTTTTATTGTTTGAAAGTTTGCAATCTAGAAAAGTATTCCAAGGTTCTGAACATAAGAACTTTTTAGACAAATTTTAATTATCATCAGGTAAACAATTGTTTATTTGTGTCTTAAACAAGGTTAATTGTTTTAATTGTGTTCTAAATTATTTATTTTCTCTATATTTTAGTATCCTACGTAACGAAAATTCCCATATACTATATAAAACTATATATGTACAAAGATTGCATTAATTATTGGATTATGATAGAGGTATTTAGTAGATGTATATAATATTATGTCTGCAAAGTATAATAAGCGTAAAATAATACTTCTCTTATAGAGACACAGCAATAACTTATGTAGATGAGTAAAATTTGATGTTTTGAAATTTAAATTCTTGCATTAGACATGGTTAAAAAGTCATTTTACAGCGAAACTTTAAACGGGAATTAGTATTTTGTTAGTTTATAATATAGTTAAATATTTTCGGTATTTTTAACAATGTAGTAAAGTAGTGTAGGATTACTTATTTCAATTTACATACTGGAGATAATTTAGCTTATGTATAATTTTTTGACCTATTTTTTATTTAATACATATAAACGCCAAATAATATCTTAAGTACATCATAATAAGTATTAAAAAAATAACAATTATATGTACTATAAAGAAAGTGTATATAATGTGTAAGATCATGTAATACTTGAAAGAAAAATGTTGACTTAATATGTTATAATTTTTCTTACCAAATTTTGGTTAATTATTTAAATATGGGCTTAAAATAAAAAAATTATAATTTATATATAATATAGTACATATTTTACAGTGGTTAAAGTGGGAAAAACTTCGAGGGGAGACTATAGTTTCTAAAAAATGAGGAGCGTTCCCGAGCACACCGAATTTCCCCTCAAAGACTAAAAATTATATTGATCGTAACAAGCAAATATACTTATTAAGTAAAAAAAAATTATCTGAATAAAGGAATAGATTAGTAACTATCTAGTACGCTTTCTACTCTTTAGTACTCAAAATTAAAGCGTCACCTCTACTTTTTGGGATTCGACTCAATGGGGACGCTACTCCAAATAAGAAAGGTCCCTTTCTTTCTACTCAAACTTTAACCAATAATGTTTGAATAATTGAATAATAAAAGGCCAGAGTAAACAAATATTAGTTAAAAGATAAATAACTAAATGGAATGAGTATTAATTTTTTGATTCATTACATATTACAAAATTATAATACTATAAAGATAATAATTTAAAAACAGATAAAATTGACATTATGAGTTTGTATTCAGCAAAAAATATTTTTTAAAAACAGTACTTGAATTTTTGTTATGCGATTTCATTTAATTAAAAAAAGTTTTTCCAGTTTTAAAACAAATTATTATCCACAGTTGGTTAGCTTTAAAATAACAATTAAAATGCGAAAAAGTTTCTTTTTTATTTAAATAAAAGCAAGTCCAAGTAAATCATAATATTTGAAGAAAATTTTAAGAATAAAAATTGAGCGTTTATGGGTAATCATCAACGTTAGGCAAACACCAATAAAATTGTGAATGTCTTTAAAATCGCTCAAGTTAAAACAGGAGCGATAAAAATTTTAATGACATCATTATTTTGACGGTCAATTCAATTTATTGTTGCTTAAACT